TTTTTTTTTTTTTAAGAGATGGAGTCTCGCTCTGTCGCCCAGGCTGGAGTACAGTGGCGTGATCTTGGCTCACTGCAACCTCCTCCTCCTGGGTTCTAGCAATTCTCCTGCCTCAGTCTCCTGAGTAGCTGGGACTACAGGCACCTGCTGCTACACCCAGCTAATTTTTTGTATTTTAGTAGAGATGGGGTTTTACCGTGTCGCCCAGGCTGGTCTTGAACTCCTGGGCTCATTTGATCCGCCTGCCTCGGTATCCCAAAGTGCTGGGATTACAGGCGTGAGCCACTGTGCCTGGCCCAGGCTAGTCTTTTTTAAGTGTTTAGTAAAGTAAGCTACAGAGAACTTTGTTAAGATGGTCTATGTTTCTCATAAGTGCTATGATTGTGCCTGGGTTATAAACTGTTCTCTTCCAAGTCAGATGCTCCTTAGCAGGTCAGCTTCAACAAGGTGGTTGTGTGTGAATAAATGTAGAACATCTGAAAAATGGTCAGTTGGTGGTAAAATGAAGTTGAGTAAACTTCTGTTACTTTGTACTTGAGGCCAGGTGCAGAGGCTCACACCTTTACGTAATCCCATCACTTAGGGAGGCCAAGGTGGTAGGATCGCTTGAGCCCAAGAGTTTAGAGACCAGCCTGGACAAACTGGCAGAACCCTATCTCTACAAAAAAATGCAAAAAATTGGCTGAGGATGGTGGCACCAGTGGTGCCCCAGCTACTTAGGCGTCTGAGGTGGGAGGATTGCCTGAGCCCAGGAGACCCAGGTCACAATGAGCCATGATCCTGTCACTGCACTCCAGCTTGTGCAACACAGTGAGACCCTGTCTCAAAAAAAAAGAAAAATTGTACTCCACTGATATTCATTGTGGGACTATAACTGTAATCTGTTTACCTGAATCTGTTTATGAAGAAGGAAATTGTCCGACAAATTAGTAATTTCCTATCGCTTTCTGGGTGATATCTAAGTGTCTGGGCCCAAGGGTGCAGACTGATTGGAAGGACAGATCACATCAGTGTCCAGCTTTGGTGGGGCCTCCACTGCCTCTGGGCATACTTAGTGCTCTTTGGTTCTGGGTCTCACATTGTCCCTCCTGCCCCTCCAACTCCCTCCCCAACCTGCTTTCTTCTTTCTTTCCCTCAGCTCCATGTTGCACCTGGTACGGCACCTTAGTTATGGAGACTAAAGCTCTCGCTCTTATTATATGGGCTGGGACATGTTTGCTTCTTATGTTAATATTTAAATTACAGCATGTGTACAAAAGAAAAAAAATTCTGGTTATACAATACTACTATTTTACTAATGCGCAAAACTGAGGCTTAGTGAGGTTAAATAATCTGCCCTGAGTTCACATTGGTTCAGTGGCAGAACTGAGGCATAAACCCAGAGTGTTTTGACTCAGGAGTTTATCACCGTTAGTCTGTATTATGTAAAGGGGAAATAAGCTCGCATGGTCATAATACTTCCAAGCGAGTCATCCTGCCCTGATTGTGAACATCCCTGTGTGTTTGTTAGATCATATACTCCCTTGTGCCAGCTTAGCAGACTAACTGCCTTCCATAAGTTGATCTTTTTTGAGGGACAGGGATGGGCATTCTGAAGAGTTGGAATTTTTTTCTGTCAAGTAAATTGATACAGTGTGCTTTGTCCATGAATTAAGAGTTTTCTGGCCTGGTTTGTTTAGACAGGAATTTAACCAGCGGAATAATTGTGTCATGGGCAGATCCATATTGTAATTGAAAGTGACTCAGATTATAGAAAAGGAGTGCCTCCAGGCATGATCCATAAGCAAAAAGGTCAGAAACAAACAAGCCAAAAGTTTCAAGTATCAGAAATCTCCTTAGGTCACATGCAACTTCCTCATTTATTTCTGTCCATTCTGATATGGGAATTGTATGAGAAAGCTCTCTATTAATAATAAATTCAGGTTTTCTGACTGACTTCTTTTACTTGTAGCCTTTCTACCAGGTTTGGCACTGTAGCTGTTCCTAATATTTTGTTATTTCAAGGAGCTAAACCAATGGCCAGATTTAATCATACAGATCGAACATTGGAAACACTGAAAATCTTCATTTTCAATCAGACAGGTATGTGGAAGTAATGTCCTGAGGAAGAAGGTATTCTATTGCTGGGGGTCTATGCCTTCTGTGGGTTCTGATCTGCTATAATCCTTAATTGAATGATCAAGACTGACTGAGTTGTAAAACTTCTAATGAACTGTTGTAATCCTTCTAATGAACTGTTAAATACTTCCCAATCAGTGTGAAGCTTAACATGAATAGGTAATTTTAATTATTATGGATATATATTTTTTCCTTTTTTTTGAGGCAGAGTCTCACTCTGTTGCCCAGGCTGGAGGGGAGTGGCATGATCTTGGCTCACTGCAGCCTCTGCCTCTTCAGTTCAAGTGATTCTCGTGCCTCAGCCTCCCGAATAGTTGGGATTACAGGTGTGTGCTACCTTGCCCAGCGAATTTTTGTATTTTTAGTAGAGATGGGGTTTTACCATGTTGGCCAGGATGGTCTCGAACTCCTGGCCTCAAGTGATTCGCCTACCTCAGCCTCCCAAAGTGCTGGGATTATAGGTGTGAGCCACCGTGCCCGGTCTATTATTGATACTTGATTGATTGACTGATTGATTGAGACGGAGTCTTGCTCTGTCACCCAGGCTGGAGTACAGTGGCACAATCTGGGCTCACTGCAACCTCTGCCTCCTGGGTTCAAGTGATTCTTCTGCCTCAGCCTTCCCAGTAGCTGGGATCATAGGGTGTGCCACCACACCCAGTTAATTTTTGTATTTTTTAAGTCGAGACAGGATTTCGCCATGTTGGCCAGGCTGGTCTTGTACTCCTAACCTCAAGTGATCTGCCTGCCTCAGCCTCCCAGAGTGCTGGGATTACAGGCTTGAGCCACTATGCCTGGCCTATTATAGATATTTTAAAACAAGTTATACTGAAATATAATTCACATACCATACACTTTATATATATATATAACTTTTTACACACATTTTCCACTTAAGTTTAATACTTACACAAAGATATGCATAAATCATGAGTGTACAGGGTGATGAATTTTCACAAAGTGAACACCCCCAGTAACCACCCTGATTAAGAAACAGAATATTGGCTTATGCCTGTAATCCCAGTACTTTGGGAAGCCTACGTGGGTGGATAACTTGAGGCCAGGAGTTTGAGACCAGGCTGGCAATATTGTGAAACCCTGTCTCTACTAAAAATACAAAAACTAGCGGGGCATGGTGGCGGGCACCTGTAGTCCTAGCTACTCGGGAGGCTGAGGCTTAAGAATTGCTTGAGCCCAGGAGGCAGAGGCTGTAGTGAGCTGAGATTGCGGAACTATACTCCATTCTGGGTGACAGAGTGAGACTGTCTCAAAAAACAAAAAAAAGAAAAGAAACAGAACATTACCAGCCTACCTTCAGCACCACTGCTCCTAACTTCCCCAAAGATAACCACAGTTTGACTCCTAATATCATAGACTGTGTTACTTGTTCTAGACTTCATATTAATGGAGACATACAGGATGTTTTCTTTTGTGTCTCTTTTTTTTTTCATCCAGCAGTATGCTTGTGAGATGTACCTGTATATATGTATGATTATGTTTTGTTTATCTTCTCTGCTGCCACTGTTCCATTTATTAATCCATTTGTAGATTCTATCTTAATTTCTTCATATTTGCCAAAATGTATGGCCTTATTTTTTATTGTTTGTAAAAGTTTAAGGATTGTAAATTGAAAAAATTACCTCCATTGGAAAAGTTCATTCCTCTAAAGCCTCACTGTCTCAGTTATGAGCATCCCTCTCTTCCCAAAGTGTACTCACTGGAAATAAATACAAATCACAACACACATTGCATATATATTAAGTTGCATATAATCATTTTAGCTAACATTAAAGAACAAAGAGCTGAGTTGGCTGATAGGAGCAAAAGTAGGGTATTACCAGGTGGTTAGCTAGTACAAGCCTTGTAATGGATCTCTGATTGTCATTTCAATTGATGTATGGAGAGGGAGCCATTTTGTTCAATGCGCTAACCAAACCTAGAACACAAATCTTGGAGACAAAGCATCTGTGGGAATCCCTGTTCCTAGTGATGGCTTGTTACAACAATTCTTTCAGTAAATTATTAAAAGCATTTTAGGGCCAGCTGTGGTGGCTCACGCCTATAATCCCAGCACTTTGGGAGGCCGAGGCGGGCAGATCAACTGAGGTCTGGATTTCGAGACCAGCCTGGCCAACATGGCGAAGCTCCGTCTCTACTAAAAATACAAAAAAATTAGCTGGACATGGTGGTGTGTGCCAGCTACTTGGGAGGCTGAGAATCACTTGAACTTAGGAGGTGGAGGTTGCAGTGAGCCGAGATCGCACCACTGCACTCCAGCCTGGGGGACAGATCAGGCCTCCATCTCAGAAAAAAAAAAACCATTTTGAGTTTAGCATTACTTAGCCTGTGGAAACATTCTGTAGATTCCTGAGAGGAGTTTTACTAGTTACTTACTGAACTTTGGTCTCAAAAGACACCAAAAGGTAACTCTTATAAATACATTGGCTAAGAAACTGCTGATGAGTTCACAGAAATTCTAGTGTTTTAGTTGTGAACAGCTGAATGGATTCCTGATCCTTTGATGTGGTCGGGAGAAAGGCAACTTATAAATTACACTGACAGGCAAGTGAAATCCATCCCAGATATTAATATGTATACTAGTGGCAGTGTTTAGTTTAGGACTGCATATCATTTTGCATACTATATATAATACTTGAGAAAAATCTGTGGCGGGTGCTTTTTCTGTCTGATTTGAAACCATTGATTTTTCTTTCAGGTATAGAAGCCAAGAAGAATGTGGTGGTAACTCAAGCCGACCAAATAGGCCCTCTTCCCAGCACTTTGATAAAAAGTGTGGACTGGTTGCTTGTATTTTCCTTATTCTTTTTAATTAGTTTTATTATGTATGCTACCATTCGAACTGAGAGTATTCGGTGGCTAATTCCAGGACAGGAGCAGGAACATGTGGAGTAGTGATGGACTGAAAGAAGTTGGAAAGAGGAACTTCAATCCTTCGTTTCAGAAATTAGTGCTGCAGTTTCATACATTTTCTCCAGTGAAGTGTTGACTTTAGTCCGATTAAAAGAATCATGCATTTGTTGAACTACTGAAAGTATAAAAAAATTATAAACTGGTGTTTTAACTAGTATTGCAATAAGCAAATGCAAAAATATTCAATAGAGTGCACGATTCTTGTTTTTGCTACCTGAACGTGATCCAGTTTCAAATGTGAAGACGTGTTCTGGTAGAATAGTGAGTAGAATGACATGCTTACTATACAGAAGGCAAAAGAGGACTGTCAGATTATAGTTTTAGGAAACCCTTGATTCCTTATATATGTTTAAGAAGGTTAGTTTTCTGTTTTTTTGCAAATTTTTTTCCAGAGTCTATAGCAGGAAAGTATGTAACTAGAATTGGTTAGTGTGACCCCTCAAGTAGCAAGTAAAGGAAAATAAAAGAGTCAAATGCCTTGATGTTTGTGATCTCTGCTTTCACTCAAAAAATCTGAAGTGTTTTAAGTTGTTTCTGGGTAAGGCAGATGTTAGGAGAAAATAAATGCTGTAACTAAAACTCAATTATTATCAGTTCTATGCTAATGTATATATTTTAGTCATGGTTATCTAACCAACATGCATTAATTGAACCTTAAAATGTTCCTTGCAGGCCGGGCATGGTGGCTGATACCTGTAATCCCGGCACTTTGGGAGGCTGAGGCAGGAGGATCACTTGAAGTTAAGAGTTCGAGACTGGCCTGACCAACTTGGTGAAACCCTGTTTCTACTAAAAATACAAAAAATTAACCGGGCATGGTGGTGGGTGCCTGTAATACCAGCTGCTCAGGAAGCTGAGGCAGGAGAATTGCTTGAACCGAGGAGGTGGAGGTTGCAGTGAGCCGAGATCATGTCACTGCACTCCAGCCTGGGCAACAAGAGTGAAACTCTCTCTCAAAAAAAAAAAAAAAGTGTAGAAGTATAAAACACTGTTCTTGCCCACAAGTTGATTTTGATCTAGTTCAAGACACATTTAGTAAAGAGACAACATGTAATTTAAACAAATTTTTTGAAAACCTATTTCCAAAAGACCCTTTAAATTCAGATATGACAGCTAATTACCTCGTGATACTTTTATACTAATCATTTCCCGGATTTTATAGTAGTTGAAT